AAATGATACCTAATGTATCAATTAATAAGACTAAGTTTGAATACTTGCAAGTCTCGTCTGTCTGAAAGAAAGGCTTGATGCAATCTGAAAGTCCCAGTGATCTTTGCTGAAGTTGGTTGATGAAAAAGAACCAGTTTGCGTCAGAGAAGCTTGATGAATGGAAAAGTCAAGGCCGAAGCCTGGCATGTACTTAGGGTTTCCTGGAGCGTTTGTAGCTTACATCTTAGAATCTAACCAAACCACAGATTCTGGGCGGGTCACATGAAGTGCGGCCTTTAAAGTCTGCAAAGATTCACGCCTCTCAAGATGGGCTTGTCCAATGAGAAAGTCCGGAATCCCAAGTGGGAGTTTTGAGATACTGGGGAGTTTTTATGACCCTTTGTTTGAAAGCATGGTAATTTGCATATGAAACTTGGATCAAAATTACTAAAGATTCTTAGAACACTAATATGTTGCATAGGTATAAACATACAATATACACTCTCAATTAGATCATCCGAATACGAATTAATAGAGACCAAACACGTTATATGTAAGGTTACATGAATAAGTGGTTCTATCATAAGCATGCATAAAATAGTCTACAATACAACAGATAATGTACAAGACCGCAATACTATACACAATGACCTGAAGGATCTGTGTGTTCATTCAAAGAAAGGTTTTCCTATGAATTAATTAGTAGAAAAGTCAATTTCTACTGTGCATTTGTGGATTTTCCTTATGGAATAGGCAGTGATTTTCCGCACCTAAATTCCATTAGGTCGTAAATGTATTTGGTGTCAGGGTTGCCATGGTAACCAGGGTCCTGGGCCTTGTGTCGTTGCAGACATCCTGGCATCCAGTTTATTGGGTGAGGGGACTGTGACGATTTGTTAATCTAATGAATGATTGATTTTTTTAAATCAAATGACAAATGGTGTATCTAATTGGTCCAGACGCTACAGCAGCTTGGCTTGAAAGTGACTTCTGTGTGAGCTGCTACTATTAACAATAGACACCATTTTTTGCCAGGCAAAATTTCACTAATGTGATCCCATCTTAAAGGGATAGTTCACCCAAAAATGAAAATTCTGTTATCATTTACCCTCCCGCTCCAAACCTATATGAGTTTCTTTATTCTGTTGAACACAAAAGAAAACATCTTGAAGAGTGTTGGTGACTAAACAGTTGCTGGTAGCCATTGACTTCCACAACATTTTTTTCCCATACTATAGAAGTCAGTAGGGACCATCATCTGTTTGGTTACAAACATTCTTCAAATGACCTTCTTTTGTGCTCAACAGAAGAAAGTAGAAACAGAAGAAAGAAGCTCATACAGGTATGAAACAACTTTAACAAAGCCCACCATGTTCCCTTTATATCCAAATAATGTTCATTTGAATCTCAAAGTGCCATCAACGTACCCTGCATGTACTCCTGGTACGCCTCAAATATCGACTCAATCCCTTTCCACCTGGGACTGAACAACTCCTCCTCATCGTCTTCATCTGAACTGACGCCCTCCTCAGCTGAGAAGTCATTCCTCATGCCTGGAGAGACGCGTTGGGCTGATATTTGGCAGGAGTGGCCATTGCTTTGTCCATTAGGGAGTTTGTTTGTCGCCCTCTGGAGGCCTGGAGGTGGAAGCGCAGGGGGCTCAAACTGCTCATTCGCTCGACCTATTAGGATACAAACGCAAAAAACGTTAAGCAAAATGTCTCTGGCTGTATTTCTCAAATTTGACTATAGAGGGAGCCATCGTCACCTTTCTGTTTCTGCTGGGATATCTGAGTGGACTGCAGCACGGACTGATGGAAGTGCTGTGCGAACTCCTCAGAGTTTATTTGCTCCCAGATGGGGAGTTTTACTCCGTTCAGTCCAGGCGGCTCGTCCTTGGGTCGGACGAGGGCCTGCAGGCCCGGGCCTCTTCTGCTGGAGGACGTCATGTTGGGTTGGCCTTGAGTGTGGAGAGGGGCCAGTGGTGGCGGGTCTTGAGGCGGATGAGGGTTTTCATGCAAGTGATTTTGGGGTTCAGGGTGAACATTACTGACTGACTGATTGAGATGTGAGACAGCTGTATGATGGGGAAAAGCAGAGGTCAGGACTAACGCCAAAACCTGATCCTTTGTTTAAAGCTGTTTCTGTATGAGTTGTTCTTACCAGACACTGAAGTGGACGGGCTGGAACAGGGCGTATCTGTGGCATATCTGAGGGTGTCCAAAGTAACAGTCTTTTGTTTGATGGCTTCCAGCAAGTCCATGATCTTCTTATTCTCTGAGGTAAAAAATAAATACAAAATTACTTGGTCAAACTGTGATACACCCAGCCTTTAAAACAAATTCTTTTCAAATATTGTAATTCTTAAGTTGTATTCCCAGAAGTTCCTGAATGCTATAAATGCTAAACATCATTTTTTTTGTCATTTAGTACTGCCCTTCAGAAGCTACAGAAGATACTTACATTTATATATAATATGTAATGTTTTTATTTTTTTTTAAATTTAATTTCTTATATTAATATTTATTTACAATTACATTTTATAAAATGTGTGGAATTGTATTATTCAAATAAAATATTCATATATATATATATATACAGTAGGTACGGAAAGTATTCAGACCCCCTTAAATGTTTCACTCTTTGTTATATTGCAGCCATTTGCTAAAATCATTTAAGTTAATTTTTTTCCTCATTAATGTACACACAGCACCCCATATTGACAGAAAAACACAGAATTGTTGACATTTTTGCAGATTTATTAAAAAAGAAAAACTGAAATATCACATGGTCCTAAGTATTCAGACCCTTTGCTCAGTATTTAGTAGAAGCACCCTTTTGATCGAATACAGCCATGAGTCTTTTTGGGAAAGACCCAACAAGTTTTTCACACCTGGATTTAGGGATCCTCTGCCATTCAAAAATTTAAGGGGGTCTGAATACTTTCCGTACCCACTGTAAATATATATATATATATATATATATATATATATTTTGGTTGTGCCAATAGATGATAGCAATATGTATCGACGATAGTCAGAGATAGTCAAGATGATATTAGGCTCATTCTACTATTAAAGTATTAAATTATAATAATAATAATTATTATGATTAGGCAGCCTATTATAATTCGGCTATAAAATTGCCCCGCTATTTCACTCACACACGCCCACAAATGTGTGAGTGAGTGACGTGACATGTGGCCAAGTATGGTGACCCATACTAGGAATTAGTGCTCTGCATTTAACCCATCCAAAGTGCACACACACAGCAGTGAACACACACACAGTGAACACACACCCGGAGCAGTGGGCAGCCATTTATCCAGTCGTGGTATTGAAGGTGGAAGAGAGCGCTGTACATACACTCCCCCCACCTACAATCCCTGCTGGTACAAGACTCGAACCCACAACCTTTGGGTTATGAGTCCGACTCTCTAACCATTAGGCCACGACTTCCCCATATATATATGAGGATTAGAGCCTGTAGCCGACATCGTCTGCTAATATAAAGTATTTAATTGCACTTTAGCAAGTAATCTGAATGGCCTATATATGTGCAATATTTTAACCGAGCCCTCACTAACTGAGTTTAATGCCACAGTAATGTTAGAATGCATCTCATTCTTGTTTCTGTGGCGGTGCGTCGGGCTCATGGAGTGCGCGGTCCGGAGCACTGATGTATCCATTCAATTTAATTTTACTCCAAATATATGAACTAGCTGTTTTAAATACAGTATTTTTATATTTAACATGCTAGTTTATCAGTATGTTTGAAAGTATATTATTTCGATTATTGGTGCTTTCATAGGCTCACTCTCGTGCACCCGCGCGGTTTAAAACACCAAATAGTTATACTATGACAAGTACAGAGAGTCTCTCTCTTGCCCCATCCCATGCACGATAATATCGTGTATCGTCGATCTCACGGGCTGATGATATGACGATTTGAAAAATGACCATATCGCCCAACACTAATATATATATACACCATGGTTTGTCAATTCTTGATCCTGATTGGCTGGCAGGTATGCATTAAATGAGCAATATCACATGTGTAGTCAGGAGATATGGCTGAATACCACCTCGGGTGTGCATTATTTTTACTCTGGTGTATCATTCCTTAATGCACAGGTAGTTCCAAGTCAGTTTAATCACCATTCTATATTAATGTGCTGCTTTCATTGATGCACACACATCACTCGCACAGAGTGAGTGAGAGAGAGAGATCATGCACACACGAAAGCATTCAGGAGCACAGAAACTTCTTGTCAAAATTGCCCCGCGACTTTTATAGCTTAGATACTGGATCGCTGCATTATATTCCTCGACTATTTATATATACACATATACACACACACACACACACACACACACACACACACACACACACACACACACACATACTTCTTATATATTAGCTAAATAAATATTCAGATATATCCCCCCATAACATATATATTAATTATACATTATATAATTATAAAAAAAAAAAAAAAAATTATATTTAATAATATTTATGTATAAAGTGTTATTATTATAGGTAAAGTGTGACTGTGACAGTGCATGGTGTGTTTGTGTGTGTACATACTTTGTCTTTCTTCCAGACTGACATCCATAACATTATATTTAATTTAAAATTTATAAATTTAAAAAAAAAAAAAAAAATTATATTTAATAATATTTATGTATAAAGTGTTATTATTATAGGTAAAGTGTGACTGTGACAGTGCATGGTGTGTTTGTGTGTGTACATACTTTGTCTTTCTTCCAGACTGACATGGCTGAGGTCGAACATGCTGAGGAAGTGTTTCTTGTCATCCAGTTCATCAGTGCGGTCCATCTCCTCTGGGGTGAAGTGCGTGCTGAGCGGAGGATGAGGAGGAGACGGAGTCTTACGTTTGCTCGGCACGGCTGAGGGTGAAGGGACTCGCTCCTGCAACATCCTCCTCCTCTTCCTCCTCTTCATCTCCAGCAGCTCATCCCGCTTAGAGAGAGTAGTCAGTCCAAACAAACACAGAAACTCTGTCTTCTGCAGAGAGAAAAGAAACGCAGTGGCTGACTGTGAGAGAGTGCTATAAAATACGAGTTTTCATGACAGTCGTTGTTTTGCTGCTGTTGTCATGTTGACTGATGAAATGTGTCACTGTACCTCTGTAGATGTGTCTAGTTTGAGAGGAGGCTGCTGAGCGACTCTTCTCAGATGAGCTCGAACTTCCTCCTCATCACTCTCATCATAGGAGTCATCTAATTCATAGTAATAACCTGAAACAGGCAGAAGATTATTATAAAACAACTGAAAGACACGGTATGGATGGATGGAAGAATACATTTGAGTATAGAGCAGATATATATCAGTTGATACTGGATATTTAATTGTGCTGTTTATTTTCTCTATTTTTATATTTAGATTGTTTGCCATCATCTAACGCTCACTTAAAGTTAATCCTCAAAAACACAAATAATTTAATAACACTGCTACATATTGGTCTCAGAATTTTAACATCTGTTAAATTTAATTTAATTTAAATGTAATTAAAATTAAATATAAACAAAATATATAAATAAAACATTTATAAATTTATATATTTTTGTAATACATTTATAAACTAAATACATTTATAAAATAAATAAATTATATAGATAACAAAAACTGTTATACTGGCCAAAATAACTGATATGTTATTGTGAATTTCAAAATATAATCACATAATAAACCACTATTTTCATGCAAACTTTTAGAAAACTTTTATATAATGTTATATTATATATTTAAATATTAAATTACATTTTTAGGCATACCATACAGTATATTATATAAATAAATATATTTAAATATCCATCTTCAGAACTGTCTGTCTGGCACATAAATGAATAAATAAATATTTTTACTTCATCTTCAGAACTAAATAAATAAATCAATTATTAAATATGTATATTATATATATATATATATATATATATATAATATTTATGCTTTCTCCATCTTCTGAACTCTCTGATAGATAGGTAGGTAGGTAAATAAATGCATAAATAATTTTTTTTTTTTTTTATTCCATAAATAAAATTTATTTCTTTATTTATGTTTTCTTCACCTTCAGGACTCTCTGATAGGCAGGTAGGTAAATGAATACATAAATAAATTTTCTCCACCTTCAGAACTCTGTTGGATAGATAAATTGATAGACACCTTTCTCTCTGGCTTCCCTGCGTTTCTTCTCCTCCAGGTCAAGCTTGCTGACGAGTCTCCTGTGCTGCTGGAGAGCCTGGTCATACACCATCATGGGGTCTGTCCTGTCTAGAGCCGGTCCCTGGGGTGGCCTGTTGTCTGCAGATTGTCCCAATTGGGAGAAGGCGGCCCTCTGCTGGTTCAGGAAGCTGCAGGTGGATTTCTCCAGCTCCGCCAGGTATTTGCCAGGCTCCAGGAGGCTGCTAACCCGCATGGTGGAGGGTCTGACGTCCTCCTCAGGAGGTTTTGCTCTGCTGTGGCCTGAGTAAGGACGGATGTGGGACAGAGGGCGGTCAGAGGGCGAGCTGAGGAGGGAGACGGGGTTCCAGAGTCTGCTGGGAGCAGGAGAAGAGGGGTGCTGGTCCCGAGGAAGAGGTTTGGGGGTGATGAGAGGTGGCGGCGCCCCTAGAGGTTGAGGCATGTCTCTGACACCCCTGTCATGATGGTGTGTGCCATACCTGAAACACAGAAAACATTTCTACAGAGCACCACTAGAGGGCACAATCATAACACACAATGGAAAGAGATGGGGTGTGCCATACTGGGGAAAAAAATCATCAAAAAAATATCACTATTTTCGTCAGTCACATAATTAGACGTTATTTTGCTGAGTGTGTTTTTGCGCTGGTTTAAGCCTGTCATGACAGATGATCTGACTCCCAAAGCTTTTCAGTCTTCATTTTCTGTGCAATATTCAGTTCACAGCACTTTTCCACTATGATGCCATATTTGTCCCCATAAAGTTATAAACTGACTTTTAAAGGCCATTTTTACCTTTATAAGGGCAATATTTTTCCCACCCTAAATTGACTTTTAAGGTGCATTTTTATCTCTATGAGGGAATTTTTTGCCTCCTTAAATTGACTTTTAAGCTGCATTTTTGTTACAAGGGCAATTTTTTTGCCACCTTAAATTGATTTTCATGGGACATTTTTACCTTTATGAGCTTAGTTACATCTTATTTAGCTTATTTACAATTTTTCTACTCTTTTTAGATGTATGCATCATCTTCTATGTCAAATTCATTTACTAATCACTACATTAATTTAGAATAATAAAACACTATCGACCAATCATTGAGTCATTGAGTCATTTATTCAACTGATTCATTCAAGCAGCTGATTCATTGTGTTTTTTGCTTGGATATGTACAACAGTTCTGTTGTGGCTTTGTTTGGAACTATATTTCTTAGCAAAAACAGACAATAATGTGTCTAAAATGTGTAAAAAGTAACTCACAATAATAACTTCTTGTTTATTGAATTGTTGTATAACATCTACATAACGCAGTGAAATCTTCACTCTCAAGGCAAAATGAGTGACATACTCAATGTCAGCTTCCACATCGTTAAAAAAAAAACAATTGCGATATCACAGACCCCTAACATGTGATTTTGTTTTCCTTTAACACTGACCTGTGAGTCTGTCTCTGTTCTGCTGGTTCTGCGGTTCGACCAACATCCTGCTGCTTGTCTTGCTGATGAAACTCCTGGCTGTGTCTGTCCGCTTTCTCTACCTTCAGCGTTCTCTGTCTGGAGAGCCATCTGTCATCGTCCTCCTGCCGCTGGAGCATCATGGGAGTTACCATGGGTCTGTGGCTCTTCCCAAACTGGATGCTTGAAGAGAGGCCAGGGCCTGAGGTTGAGATGGATGAAGGACCTCCTGAGGATGAGTATGGACCAGACTGAGGCATGAGCAGTGGCGTTTCTTTGGGTTTATCTGTATTGAGAGATGACAGATGCATAGATGAATGAACATGTGCTTCTCAAAGCGGAACATCTGTAAGTATTTAATTTATATGTAGTAAATATACTAAAGGACCAAAATAGCAACATCTTACATGATACATTATTATGAAGGAACACTTTGTTTGTCTTCAGAATTACAGTATTATTTCTATACTATTGAAGCACTTATTAAAAGCTTTTATTTTTAGATTTTCATTTTTCATTTCAATTTTAGTTTAGTTAGTAATTTTGTAATGTTCTTTTGTCATTATTAGTTTTTTTATATATATATTTTTATTTTGTTAATATAAAAAAATATTTGTAATATTATTTAATTTAATTTTAATTTTGATCTCATTATTTGGAATTTTAGTACTTCAAATTAAACTTATTTCAGTTAGTTGCTGAATCAATGTTTCTAATTTCCTTTGACATTTTTTATGTTTAGGTTTTTCAAGTTTTAGCTTTAGTAATTTTGTTAAATGTGTGTTTTTTTATTACAGTTTTTCAACTTAAATTTTCCAAGGCAATATTTCAAACTGTCATTTTTATCCGTTTTTGTTTTTTTTTAAAGTAAATATATTTTAAAATAAAAGTTTTAGTAGTTTTGTTTGCCTTTTTTTTTTTTTTACTACCTTAGGTTTTTAGTTTTTTTTATATATATAT